TATGTGTGTATTTATATATACATAATAAATATACACAGAACACACACATATATTATGCAAACAAATTTTTTTATTTTGTATGTGATTAATCGCGGTTAATTGTTTGACAGCACTAATATATATATATATATATTTTTTTTTTACAAGACAATAGGGGAAAATGCAGATGACTTTTCCACAGAAAGTTGTATTTTTATATAGGTCCATAAAGCACCAAACTGCCCTATAAAGTTTAAAGCATTAGTTTAGGAAATTGTTATCAGCTCTTTATGTTTCCAAAGAGCTGTTTCACTTTAAACAGACTCAAGAGCCATTAGGATTTTCATGTGTGAATTAAAAAAATAAATCCTCAGCCTTGGAAGATCCAGAGATTTTCCATGACGAAGGTATTGGAAATCATTCACAGGCTTTGTTTTTGCTACAGTCTCAATAAGATGAAAACCTTGCCCCTTCAAATAACAGACTCTAGTATCACAGCCCTGGTTACAAAACCCTTCAGTCAGTCAACTGGAATAATAATGTCATGAACTAATATTGTTCCAAAATGTTCCAAACCTGACTTTTTTTTCATCTGTGGAACAAAAAATGAGATATTCTGCAGATTCTTCATGCAGCTCTTTTCCATACAATGCCATAGTGATCGTATCAGTTTCAAAAATGACTGATACAAGGAACACATTTAAATTTTTGTCGTTATTCCCTAATAATCTTCTCCTTCAGTGAGCTGTAACTTGAGAACTGTTGAGTGAAGGAGGAGAACAGATTTGTGGACTGAAAAAAAAACAACCAATCCAAAGAAATAATTCATTCACTGATCTGCTTCTCGAGTTCAATTCACTGACTCAATCATTTGGTTTCTGAAATTTGGCCTGCTTCTCTCACAAATCTACCGCATGGTTTCAGAATGCTATGGTGCATTTTTGGAGCTTAAAAGACTAGTCAAAAATGGTCATACTTTAAAGTGCCTTTAAAAAAATAGCATTTTACATTCTAGTGGGAAAAAAATATGGTATACAAATTTACATATGACATATTGTTCTTTTTGAAATTAGTATTTGTTTTGTTTCCTCCTAGCATTTCTCCATTCTCCTCACCAGCCAGTATACACAGCGACAAAGCATGGGGTGATTGGATTTTCAAGAGCCATTGCAGTGAGTGCATCAATCCTGTCTCACCAGTTTACCATGAGCAAAGTTTACCAGAACCATATGTAAATCTGTTCACTGAAATGTGGTACATTCCAGCACAGCCCAGCTTTTTCTCTCCAAGAGAGTAGTTGTGTTTGCTCACAGATAGGATCTCTAACCCCTGTGTGTTGACACATTCTTTGCGCTGTGTGTGTAATTTAGGCTGACCGTGTTTGGACACGTTTTGTTGTCGGCAGGACGCATCTGAACAGGGCAGTTATGGAGTGAGGATCAACACACTGTGCCCAGCCTTCGTGGACACCCAACTCCTTCGCACTGTGGAGCATGAGGAAACAATGGGCAAGTTTGTCAAGTACAAAGATGAATTCAAGCAACGGATGGACAAGTATGGCGTTCTCAAGTAAGCAGAGTTCTGTTGAACTACCTGTTTCTTCTGTATTAGATTGTCTTAGTAGTTTAGCTTTGTTTGTTATATTCAGTCCATTGAATAAACAGTTTGCTCGGGCAGAGACCAACAGTGTTTTTTAGATAATGCCAAAAATCTGTTTCCAGTACAGACCTTTACCGCTGCAAGGAAATAATCAGTGGATGAACTGCTTGTAAACCTTTAAACTTGCCTTTACTGGAAGATCTAGGCATTCATTTTACACCACCCATTGATTAAAGGTGGATTAAACTGTGTTTTGCTTGCAAGATTTTTGGCGTGCACTTAAAATTGAATCAAATCAACCTCCTCCACCCCAACAAATCACCTACAGTATTACTGACACTTTCTTCATGCCTCGCACTATTCTTTTAGTGTTGGTGGAGTATCTGAAATTTAATTTTTTTTCCCAATAAAACATTTGTTATGTCTTCCTCAAACACTCTGTAGACACATGAGGGATGAGTTATTTGAAGTTAAGGAATGTCAACAAGAACATAGAAAAGATACGTTTGAGGCAAGATGACTGATTTTAAAATGCAAAAATGAATAGCCTTGTTTGCTTTTTAAAAACCCACATTCTTTACTGAAAAGTGCTGCAAAAAATGTGAAATGTGATTTTGTTGTGCCTGTGTTTATATCTACAGACCATCTCTGATTGCCGAAGGAATGCTGCGAATGGTAACAGATGAAAGCCTAAACGGAGCCGTGATGAAGATCACCTGTTCTAAAGGCATTCACTTCCACACCTATGAACCTCTTTCAGCTTGAGAGTGATGCCTTCATCAAACATGTTTGCCTTTTTTCTCTCCTCTCCATTCCTCATCAGAACATTTATTTTATTGAAGTCCAGTGCAGACTGTATGTGTGTGTATTTATATATACATAATAAATATACACAGAACACACACATATATTATGCAAACAAATTTTTTTATTTTGTATGTGATTAATCGCGGTTAATTGTTTGACAGCACTAATATATATATATATATATTTTTTTTTTACAAGACAATAGGGGAAAATGCAGATGACTTTTCCACAGAAAGTTGTATTTTTATATAGGTCCATAAAGCACCAAACTGCCCTATAAAGTTTAAAGCATTAGTTTAGGAAATTGTTATCAGCTCTTTATGTTTCCAAAGAGCTGTTTCACTTTAAACAGACTCAAGAGCCATTAGGATTTTCATGTGTGAATTAAAAAAATAAATCCTCAGCCTTGGAAGATCCAGAGATTTTCCATGACGAAGGTATTGGAAATCATTCACAGGCTTTGTTTTTGCTACAGTCTCAATAAGATGAAAACCTTGCCCCTTCAAATAACAGACTCTAGTATCACAGCCCTGGTTACAAAACCCTTCAGTCAGTCAACTGGAATAATAATGTCATGAACTAATATTGTTCCAAAATGTTCCAAACCTGACTTTTTTTTCATCTGTGGAACAAAAAATGAGATATTCTGCAGATTCTTCATGCAGCTCTTTTCCATACAATGCCATAGTGATCGTATCAGTTTCAAAAATGACTGATACAAGGAACACATTTAAATTTTTGTCGTTATTCCCTAATAATCTTCTCCTTCAGTGAGCTGTAACTTGAGAACTGTTGAGTGAAGGAGGAGAACAGATTTGTGGACTGAAAAAAAAACAACCAATCCAAAGAAATAATTCATTCACTGATCTGCTTCTCGAGTTCAATTCACTGACTCAATCATTTGGTTTCTGAAATTTGGCCTGCTTCTCTCACAAATCTACCGCATGGTTTCAGAATGCTATGGTGCATTTTTGGAGCTTAAAAGACTAGTCAAAAATGGTCATACTTTAAAGTGCCTTTAAAAAAATAGCATTTTACATTCTAGTGGGAAAAAAATATGGTATACAAATTTACATATGACATATTGTTCTTTTTGAAATTAGTATTTGTTTTGTTTCCTCCTAGCATTTCTCCATTCTCCTCACCAGCCAGTATACACAGCGACAAAGCATGGGGTGATTGGATTTTCAAGAGCCATTGCAGTGAGTGCATCAATCCTGTCTCACCAGTTTACCATGAGCAAAGTTTACCAGAACCATATGTAAATCTGTTCACTGAAATGTGGTACATTCCAGCACAGCCCAGCTTTTTCTCTCCAAGAGAGTAGTTGTGTTTGCTCACAGATAGGATCTCTAACCCCTGTGTGTTGACACATTCTTTGCGCTGTGTGTGTAATTTAGGCTGACCGTGTTTGGACACGTTTTGTTGTCGGCAGGACGCATCTGAACAGGGCAGTTATGGAGTGAGGATCAACACACTGTGCCCAGCCTTCGTGGACACCCAACTCCTTCGCACTGTGGAGCATGAGGAAACAATGGGCAAGTTTGTCAAGTACAAAGATGAATTCAAGCAACGGATGGACAAGTATGGCGTTCTCAAGTAAGCAGAGTTCTGTTGAACTACCTGTTTCTTCTGTATTAGATTGTCTTAGTAGTTTAGCTTTGTTTGTTATATTCAGTCCATTGAATAAACAGTTTGCTCGGGCAGAGACCAACAGTGTTTTTTAGATAATGCCAAAAATCTGTTTCCAGTACAGACCTTTACCGCTGCAAGGAAATAATCAGTGGATGAACTGCTTGTAAACCTTTAAACTTGCCTTTACTGGAAGATCTAGGCATTCATTTTACACCACCCATTGATTAAAGGTGGATTAAACTGTGTTTTGCTTGCAAGATTTTTGGCGTGCACTTAAAATTGAATCAAATCAACCTCCTCCACCCCAACAAATCACCTACAGTATTACTGACACTTTCTTCATGCCTCGCACTATTCTTTTAGTGTTGGTGGAGTATCTGAAATTTAATTTTTTTTCCCAATAAAACATTTGTTATGTCTTCCTCAAACACTCTGTAGACACATGAGGGATGAGTTATTTGAAGTTAAGGAATGTCAACAAGAACATAGAAAAGATACGTTTGAGGCAAGATGACTGATTTTAAAATGCAAAAATGAATAGCCTTGTTTGCTTTTTAAAAACCCACATTCTTTACTGAAAAGTGCTGCAAAAAATGTGAAATGTGATTTTGTTGTGCCTGTGTTTATATCTACAGACCATCTCTGATTGCCGAAGGAATGCTGCGAATGGTAACAGATGAAAGCCTAAACGGAGCCGTGATGAAGATCACCTGTTCTAAAGGCATTCACTTCCACACCTATGAACCTCTTTCAGCTTGAGAGTGATGCCTTCATCAAACATGTTTGCCTTTTTTCTCTCCTCTCCATTCCTCATCAGAACATTTATTTTATTGAAGTCCAGTGCAGACACCTCAAACAGCTAGTTGAATGACACAAACCTATGGCGCATTTAAGAAATAAAAAGGGACGGTATAGATTTTCCTGTCTATCATTTGAGTTTTGAAAACCAAAAAGGACTGCATAATGGCATTCGGGCCTCTTTCTAAACTGGTTTCATTTTTTTGTAACGCCCTTGAACATTAATTTGTATGCAACTGCTTTACTGTGAGTAATTGGTTTTGAGAAAAGAAAATCATATTTATTAATAATTCAGTTATTCTTTTCGTGTCAATCGTACCTCAATATCGCAAACCAATGATTCTTATAATTTTGTATAATATTTTAGATATATGGATATCTTTGTGGCAAAGAGAGTATCTTATGTATAAATCAGACAATAAACTTCTGAAAATACAAAGAAAATTTTTTCTATATTTTCTAGCTTATTAGTTTATTCTACTTTTAGTTTCCTACTTTGCTTGTTGCGGCTAAATGTGTATAGCATAGGCTGTGTTTTACCCAAAACTAATCCAAAATCTTGCAGATTTTGAGACCAGGCTGCTATATACAATGTTCCTGTCTACATTAAAAGACGCACTGTTCTGGAATGCAAATCCAGAAACAAGTGTCACCTGGCAGCTGTGTTTACATCAATGCAGTTGTAATGTCCAGGAATCTGCACAATTGCCTACACTTACCGCATTACCAGAAATGGATAACTCCTGTGCTTTCACATTTTAGTTACATAGGTAAAGTCTTTCTATTTCCAGCAGTGTGGTTTCAATCTAACAAGTTATTTTGCTAAATACATACTAAGAATAAATTTTTTTTCATGAACTGCTGTAAATGCATCCAAAGTGAAAATATATAAATTGCAAATGGTTCAGTAATATTACTTATTGTGACATGGCACACATTATCTCGGTCAATCAAAACATGGCATATCGGTTTTAAAAACGTTCATCAGTACAATCACAAAGTCTACACTAAAGTTTAGTTTTAAACTAAACAAGTGCCCTAGTTGGGTTATAGGGGTTCAATTTGACAATAACAGTTCTCAGAGTAGCCAGAATTTCACTTTTTACACTGACTTTACAAAATTCCTTTGATGAAACATCACAGGGATGTGACTCTGCTTTGATATGACAGCAGATAAAGATATGAACGTCTATGAGGGCTGGGAGGGAGTCTGTTTGATAGTCAGAGCTTTCTATCTACATCTGAAGAATTATTGAAGGAAGGATATGCTTCTATATTATACAAACTGTTCCTCATTCAATTCTTGCAAAAGCTACAACTGAACCACAAATGTGTTATCATATCACTTTTAAAGTAACACGGTTGCAGTATGCAATAATTCTGGCAATGCAATACACAAAAAAAGTACAACTTTTATACCACTTGTTAATCTTAAAACGTTAATTTCTATGTATACCATAACATTAAGTTATGAAGTTATCATAACAAGTTATATATGTTCATTCATGATACCTATATATACCTAATTATAATAATTAATGTAAACATACATTAGCATCTCTGTAAACTTGTTGTATACATAGGCTGCTGGTCTTCTCAACAAGGGAAACGGGCAGAGAAAACACTCCGACACACTTTTATCAGTAACTGAAGTGAGAGGAGACCAGATGAGCCAGGTCATTAAGGTCACACAAAAGGCCCTGAGAAAGCTTGGGTGGGGTTTGAGTACAGGTTAAACAGATGAGAAAGCTTTGTTAATCACTAGTAGTACCTCAGCTGAAAAATATGCAGCTCGCTTAGCTCATTGTAGGCAGGAAGTTGTGACATGAAATGAAGAGTGTGTTGAAGGACATGCCTCGCTGTTTGTCAAAAATTATTTCATGACGAGGCAATATATGCTCATTGGAATTGGCTGTTGATTCAGAGGCTGTTTTTGCATTTATGTGGTAATTCAACTTAATTAACTGAAATCACTTCTGGTCAGTTACAGCTGTTAAAAAAGAATAATGATAAATCAAATAAAAAATAAATAATAAATAAATGCTCTACTCAGAAACATTTTAAAAAGTATTCTTTGTTAGTTTGTACAGCTTCGTATTGTCTTATCACACTAAAATTTTGATTCAATTACAATTTTCTATTGTTTTCTACATGTGTTTCTTCAGATATTATTTTACTTTTTCCCCCATGAAAGAACACTTTATATTAGCATGCACTGTCACTGCTGAGACAGTGAATACACACATATGTCAGACAGCTCATTATAGTGCCTGCAGAGCTTTCACTGGTATTTTTGCCCAAAGCAGGGCTCTACGCTTATTTTTCTTTTTAGGAGCGCTTGTGCTCATTTACACCCTGTCTACACTTTGCTTATGAAAGGATTCATGAGATATGTCTGTGATACATTACTCAACGCTGCAAAAACACGTAGAAACCTTTGAAGCTCCCCTCAGCGATCACAATCACAAGTATGATGATGATCTGGTCAGTCGCACTGGTGCTCCTAAATATGTTTTCATAGTCGCACGCAGTAGTTTTCAATGGTCGCACTGTAGAGCCCTGCAAAGCCTTGGTCATTTCCTGACCCTTGTGCATGTAACTCATGTTCACTTTGGCAATCAATGTGCAATCAAACAGACTTGCTAGAAAGCAACAGAAATATTCTTCCACTGGAGTGTTTTGGAACTCCTCCATGAGTAATAGCTCTGAGAAAGAAACAAAAAGTTAAATCTTGTTAAAACGGTGTCTAATTCATGTACACTGTGATGCAGCTGTTGCGTCATACTGAGTACATCTGGACAGTGCCGTGTTCTAACAACATTTCTTTACATTATATAGCACTTCACTTTCGCTGTTTTTTGGGTATCAGGTCCTAATAAAGATTCAAAACTCCTACTAGTGTTTTTATATACTATTATTATATTCAGAGGTGGGAGTAAGTCACACATGTGCAAGTCACAAGTAAGTATCAAGTCTTAACCTTCAAGTCTCAAGCAAGTCCAAGTAAATTTTTGTGAGAATCAAGCAAGTCAAGTCAAATCACTGCTTTTGTCAAGCAATTCAAGTGAAGTTGTAGCTTGGGTCAAGCAAGTCACTGTCAAGTCATACTTCTTTCAACTGAAAGTAGCTAAAGCCAGCTTGAAAAGTCGCTAAATGACGTCATACGTTAATTAGCATATTCACAACGTCATTGTGTCATACCTTTTACATTTGTTTGCCTGTGCTCACAAACTGTATTTTAATGCAGCCAAATTCTCAATAAAACTGTTTTCACTGATATATTTTTCTGTTTCTGTTGTAAGACAATGGGATGAATATGAAATAGAGACTGAAACGCGGCCCATTAAGACTACCAGATCTCTGTTAGATGTTAATATGCACAAAAATCCCGATTCATAATCGCGACTTCATCTAATGAAATCAAATACACATAAGATAAAGACAATGGCTTCGTAGCTTGGGTCAAGCAAGTCACTGTCAAGTCATACAAATGTTTGATGATTTAACTGAATTTATATATTAAAATAACTTAAAACTAGTTATGGACTATGGGAGTTTTATTTGCAAAAAAAATAAAAAATTGCAATATGCATTTCTACTCAAAAAGTGTCCAGATACAGCTGAGTTGTTAATACAATAAAAATCTAAAAAAAAAATTTTTTTAACTACATAGCCTAAGATGTAAATGTAACTGAAATTAGTCCAGCATAAAAGCATGAAAAGTATTTAGGTACAGCTGTTTCAATATGCCTCAAACATTGAAGAAAACCATGAAAAAGTATTAAACAATTCAAGTATGATGGTTTCTATGCCACCAAATGGCATTCTTCAAACAGGCATCACCTTTATGGGACATGAACACATCCTTAAGTTAGATCCTTCCTTTTTAACAAAAGAATAACAACAACAAGAAAAAATATTAATAATTGAATCACACAAACCTTGCATCTGTTTATAATGTACATTATTAATCTGTGTGTGTGTGTGTGTGAGTGTGAGAGAGAGAGAGGTGATTTGAGTAAGTGTGATTTATTAATATTTGTGAGTGAAGTGAGAGTGTGTGTGTGTGTGTGTGTGTGTGTGTGTGTGTGTGTGTGTGTGTGTGAGACAGAGAGAGGTGATTTAATTGAGTGTGATTTATTAATATTTGTGAGTGAATGTGTGTGCACGTGTATGAGTGTGCATGGTTGTGCTTGTAAGTTTGAGGTTTTTTTGTTTTGTTTTGTTTTGTTTGTTTGTGTATGCATGGCTGGGTTAGCAACTGTATTTTTTTTTCTTTTATGCATCCTCATAAACTATCCATAGGCTTTCACTCAAAGTCTAACACTGAAGACCAATTATTAGACACTGTACTGTACACATGCATATACTAAGTGCTACTGCCAAAAAAAAGCTGAGATTTCCTTATAAACAGTGAATAACCATTTACAATGCATTCCACTTGCAAATAAATAAATTTGATAGTGCTCACAAACTGTATTTTAATTTCGCCTACACGATATTTTTGTCGGTCACGATAGTCACTGTGTCAGATTACACGATTTTGACTCCTAAAATCTTGTCGTGTCGTATACAAGAAACATGTCAGACTACACGTTGCTTCTCGACCATTCATCGCGTGCCGTCTTTAACGACGCGCGTGATGTC